CATGAAAGCTGGTAATAGGGAACCTAAGGTTGAGAAGGGACAGTGTCACATGTCGTGGAGCTGTTAACCATTGTCATAAAACAATATATGCACTGTTTAATGAGAATCTATTTGTTCTGTAAACCTTCATCTGAAGTACAATAAAAATAATAATAATAATAAAAATTCTCACAAGAAAGAAAAAGTGTTTACTCCTTGACCTCCCCACAGAGGATACGGTAAGAATTGATTTTTTAGAATCATTTGTTAAAAAAAAAAAAAGCACCGAAATAGAAAAATAAAGAACAAAACTAAAGAACATAAAAGTGTACACTTTTTAGGTGCTTCAACTTTGAAAGCAAAAGATTAAAAATTTTAATAATTTCACTCAATAATACTCACCTTTCCTCAGAAAGGAGATTTCTGGAACTCAAGATCCATTCACTACACGAATTTGGTTAAGTACCTCTCATTCTTCTTTGCATCTCACAACATTCCTTCCCCAATGTCTAGGCTTTTCATTGATTTACTCAACCTACTATACGCCACAAAGTCAGAGAACAGGGGACACAAGAAGAGTAAGACATAGTCCCTGCCTTCAAAGAACTTACAGCCAGGCCCGGGGTATGGGTGGGTAGGCATATAACAGTGTTAACAGGTACTTTAAGTGATACAGGACCTGAGCTGAGGCACAAGAAGGGAGTGGTCAAATGGGAGAAGCAGTCAAGGTTTAACAGAGATGGGGTCACCTGAGTAGGTGGGAGGCGGGAGAGGCAGCCCAGGAGTTAACAGCAGAGTCTTACTGGTCCACAGACCCAACAGAGCCTCTATCATCAGGGTGCTTCTTAGAAATGTAGAATCCCAGTCCCCTGTCTGAACTAGACCAATCACAATGTACATTTTAACAAGACCTGCAGGGAACTCTTATGTTCATTACAGTTTGAGAAGTTCTACTCTAGAAGCAGTAGTTTGGTATGGCTAGAATTAGATACCACAGGAAGGAACTTAGAAGAGATGAGGTTCCAGAGGCATCTCCAGATCATGAAACACCTATCTTAATGTCTCTAGACTTTATCCTACAGACAATGGGAGCCACCAGAATGTCTGATTGTAAATAGGCAAACAACATGATCAAATTAGTAAGGGAGACTAGGCAATGCTGATGGAGATTAGAGGAAGAGAAGATTCATTTCAGATGAAGTAGATCTAACAGCACTTCATCATTTTTCAACCAATAAATTGGGGGGGGGGGGTTGAAGGAGACAGTGAGATATGAATTAAGTCAAGAACAATGAAGGCCAGGTTCTTCCTGGGCAGCAGGCAGAAATAATAACATTCACTGAGACAGGGACCACACCAGGAACAGATGCGGGAGGAAAGATGAGTCCAATTTGAGATGTGTTGGATTTGAAGTACCTGTACCTCGATTGGAAACTCTGGTGGCGTAGTGGTTAAGAGCTACAGCTGCTAACCAAAAGGTCGGCAGCTAGAATCCACCAGGCACTCCTTGGAAACCCTATGGGGTGGTTCGACTCTGTCCTGTATGGTTGCTATGAGTCAGAATCAACTCAATGGCAAAGGGTTTGGTGTAGTTTTGGTAGCTCAATCAGGTGAATGTTTTTAGCAGACAATCTATATTGAGGAAGAGAGATAATGCCATCATCATATAGTTTAGTAAGGGCTGACACCCTGAAAATGGAAGAGGTCACCCAAAGGCAATGAAAAAGGGAGAAGACATAAAGGACCTCGGACAAAACCCCTAAGGACATAAGCATTTAAGAGATAATGAGAAGAAAAGGAAGCATAAAAACAAGTGAGGAAAGTCCTAAAGAGAAGAGAATCAAGAAAGAGTAGTGTCATCAATGCCAAGAAAAGGGTCTCATGAAGGGGAAAATGAGAAACACAGTAATATGACAGAGATCAACACCTAAAAAATGGATTTGGTAATTAAGAGGAACTTTGGAAAAATTAAATAAAATAAGCATATGTTACGGATTGAAATGTGTCCCCCAAAAACGTGTGTGGTAAATTCTAACCATTATGCCTGCGGTTATAATCCCATTTAGGAATGGGTTCTTTGTTATGTTAATGAGAGAGGTTAGTGTGCCATGTGTCTTGAGTCAATCTCTTCTGAGATATAAAACAGATTAAACGAGCAAGCCAACAGAGGAGAGATGGAGTAACAGATGCCAAGACACATGGAGACCTCCAACGAACCAGGAAGCAGAAGCTGAAGAGACAAGGACCTTTCTCCAGAGCAGACAGAGAGAGAAAGCCTTCCCCTAGAGCTGGCGCTCTGAATTTGGACTTCTAGCCTCCTGAACTGTGAGAAAATAAATTTCTCTTAGGGCAGCACTAGATAACTAAGACAGCATACATCTCACACGTAACAGAAATGATTAGAAAGATGGCTCTCTCAGGGTGACAGAATTAAGGATAATTTTTATTTCATTGCTTTCCCCCCTGTATTTTACAACTGTTCCTCAAGGAACATGAGTTTTGTAATTGTTTACAAATATAATAAACAAAATTAATAAATAAGACAATGATGGCCTTTGCCAATGATGTGATTGCAGTGGGTGGAAGAGTGAATGAGAAGAGAGGACATGAAGGAAAAAGGGGAGTACAGGCAGGGAAGAAGAGAGACTGGGAAGCATCTAGTGAAAGTACAGTCCCAGGAAAGGTTTTGTTATTTATATAGGAAAGATCTGGGCATGCTTATAGGTCATGGGGTAGGAGACAGTATAAAGAGTGTATGGAGTCAGGAGAAAGAGGGAACAAATACTTCTTAATTGCATACTATGAGCTGAGCCACCATCTGACAGTCTGTCATACGGTGTGGTGGTGGCTGTGTTGCTATGATGCTGGAAGCTACACCACTGGCATTTCAAATACAAGCAGAGTCACCCATAGTGGACAGGTTTCAGCGGAGCTTCCAGACTACGACAGACTAGGAAGAAAGGCCTGGTGATTCTGTTCCGAAAATCAGCCAATGAAAACCCTACGGATCACAACAGAACACTGATATACTGCTAGAAGATGAGCCTCCTAGGTTGGAAAGCACTCAAAATACACAGCGGCCAAAATGGACTCGAACATATCAACGACTGTGAAGATGGCACAGGACAAGGCAACATTTCCTTCTGTCATACATAAGGTTACCCTGAGTCAAAGCAGACTAGATGGCAACAATGACATGAGCTGAATACACAGTGGTGATCAAAAGCAAGCCCTGCTCTCATGCAGCTCATTTTCTACTAAGGAAACAAATGGAAAACAAATAAGTAAAAATATCAGACAAGTGCCATGTGCCATGGGTAAATATGAAATAGGGTAACAGCCTTTTAGCTTGAGTGTTGAGGTAAAGCTTCTCTGAAGAGATGACATTTGAGCCGAACCCTAAAGCCAGCTTTACAAAGACAAAAGGAAAAGGCTCTGTGACTTTTACTTTACAGATAATGAAACAGAATGATGGAGGTTAAGTTAAGACGGCCAAGATTATGCAGCAAGTAAATGGAACCCAAGTGCGACGAACACCCAGACCAACACCCTTTCTACTAGACTGTGTTCCCTCTTTATTCAGTTTTCCCAAATGCAACAGAGAAGATGAAAAAAAGCATCAACCCTGCTCTGGCCTGTTGTTTAGGACTAGAAAGACAGCATAATTTGCAAGACTTTTAGAAGAAACTCTTTGAAACCCTAGAGATGCCATCCTGTGAAAACAGGCATGACTTCTGAAGATTACTATTAAAGTCTAGTAAGAAAATACAGACAAGCTCCAAATTACAAACAGGCTACATTCCAAAGATTTATAACTAAGATGTTAGGAAATCATAAATTCCCCTCATATAATTTTATGCAGGGATTAGGCTTCCTTCCAGGCTGGTCTACAAAGGTCCACATATACCCCACTGCCATCCAGTCAATTCTGACTCATAGCTACCCTACAGGACAGAGTAGAACTGCCCCACAGGGCTTCCAAGGCTGTAAATCTTCACAGGAGTAGACTGCCACATCTTTCTCCACAGAGTGGCTGGTGGATTTGAACTGCTGACCTTTCAGTTAGCAGCTGAGCGCTTAACAACCGTGCCACCAGAGCTCCTTACTAGATACCCAGCCCTATATGATGTGCTTTACATAGATTATCTCTTTCAATACTTTTAACACTATTATTACTTCTATTGTTAAGTAAACTGCGGCCTGGAGATGTTAAGTAACTTGCCCAATGGCACAAAACCTCAGCACCCTGCTCAACGGAACACCTCCATCAACCTTCCTTATCCCAAAAAATCTACACAAGCCTATATCCTGAAAAACCTCAATCCATGAGAACATTCATTCAAACATGTGACATACACTACAAGTTTTACTTGCTTTTGCAACCCCCAAAAAATTCCCTGCATGCGTTCATTCCTTCATTGACACTTACGGAGCCTACCGTGACAATTCCCAACTCATACAACAGCTAGGTAAATTCTGAAGGAAAACTCCATTCGAGAAAATGCAAAGAAAAGCCCAAATCATCATAATTAAACATTTTCGCCCATCCAAAAATCTCAACCCATCTCCCTCAAAAAACTGAAGCTCTCGAAATCCAAATCCTAGGTGACTAATGATCGCCAACAAGGCTCCCACGTAGGACAGACCCCCAAGCCAGCCAATCCTGGGAAGTGGAATACTACTCGACCCCAGCATGCAGCCCTCAAAGTCCCCTTCAACTTCATAGGCACCTACCAACTGCAGCTATCTGTAGGCCGAGGGCAGGAGGACCAAGCCCAGGGGAAGTGAAGGAGGGATCCAAGCCGGAAGCGAGCCATGCCCACGGCTGTGACCTTCTGAAAGCGACCAACCCTGTCACCCGAAAGCCCCAGGCGGGGAGCTCAGTCTGACGTCTCGAGACGCCTGGCCCTGGGGCGACGAGGTCACAGGCGGGACCTGGCCCCCACCTGGACCCATAACACCGGATCCCATCGCTATAACCTGGCGGGAGTCCGAAGGGCCTAGGGAGCCTGAGCACTCACCCGGCAGCTGGCCTCGCGCGAGCGGCGGGCACACAGGCGGCGGCGTGCGGCCGGCCTGGGCCGCCCGTGAGGAGACGCAGGGAGAGCGGGAGGCGCGGGGCCGCCCCGGCGCGGAGAAGCCAGCGCGCTGGTCTCAGCAGAGCTGCCATGCCTTGGTCGACCCCACAGCAGGAAGCACGTTCCGCGAGGAGGACAGGAGGAGCACGTGACCACGGGGTCGCCCGGCGCGGGAGAGACCAAAGGCTAGGCGCTCCAAATGTAGGGGGAAACAAGGATTGTTTTAGGTTGGCGTAGAGAAATACTTCTTTATATGAAGATATATGAACACCTTACTGTGTTTAAATAAATTATAGTACTTATTTATTAAGAAATTGAGCTTCTTGTTTCGTCTTAAATTCTTTATCTTCTCGTGTTAAATCGATCCACACCTCCACTTTTCAGTTGGTAGAGTCGGAAGAGGTCGAGGGCTCCCAGGTTAGCGCAAGGGCTTGCGGGAGGCCAACTAGCAAAAACCCCGGGAAACGCTCGGGAAGAGCCGACTGTGAAGATCCCGGAGTGTGAGATAGTTGCCTTTCTAGAGTGACGGATGTTGCCGATTTCCTTTCAGTGGCTCTGTGCTCAACGTCCAAGCTGCTGGCGCTTACTGGCAGGAATGTTCTGTACCCTCAGAAACGTAAGATAGAAAAAAGTTGAGGATCTTTGCGCTACGCTAAGGGCCTCCAAGATTAAATATGATGCGATTTGTGTTACTGGGGCCTGAGGACAGTGTAAAGAAATACGTTAATGTCCAGCCCTGACCAACTTCAAACGCAATGCCTTATTTAATAGAATAGATGGATTCTAGCCAAGGTTAAAGCTGGAACTGAACTCTTATAGTCCCCGCTTCTTACCCCTTCCCTCAGTAAAATGCACCAGCATCAGAGATAATATAAAGAAGTGATTTAAGACTTTGGAGCCAAGTCTGGGGACAAAACAGTAAGGCGAGTTAAACACGCCCGTGTCTCCACAGGGTTTACAGTCTTCCCAGTCTCCACACGTGGGAAGCTGAGAACAGGCTTCCACTCTCTCTTCAGCTAGCTATCTCTTTCCTACCCTCAGGTGAACGCGCAAACATTTCCTCTGGAAACTCTCCCATGGATTTCCAATTTGGCCGTTTCGCCCAGTGGACAACGAGCTCCTTGAGAGGAGGGACTGTGACCTCATTATAGATGAAGCACCTTCCTTCCTGCCAGGCACACAGTAGGTTGCATTCAGTATCCACAGAATTAATGTTTGTTTTGCGATTACTCAGCCTGCCTCTCCTTTCAGAGATGAGGAAACTGAGGCCTAACAAATGTTAAATTACTCTGAGTTGTACTGGTGGTTAAAGCCATCGACTGCCAACCACCAGCGGTTCCACGGGAGAAAGATGTGGCAGTTGTCTTCTTAGAGATTCATAGCCTCGGAAATCCTGTGGGGTCTCAATGAGTAGGAATGGACTCATGGCGGTGGGTTTGGGGTTTTTTTTTTTTTTTTTTTTG